TTTTCTTCTTCGCCAAGAAGCAAACACGAAGGAAAGCTGCTGCAACTCTCTCTTGGACTGTACAGGACCCTCACCATGGTAGTACAACTCCGGTTGTAAGATTATTAAACTCGCAGTTAAACTGTACTTTTGCAGCCCTCTCCTGAGATTGCTCTGGAAAGTTTGTGTAGAAAGTCTGGTGTTTGTCATTGTGGTGCCTTCGTAAGTACAGCAACACACTCACTGCAAATGAAACACATTGGTTTGACATTTGGATTTGGTGGTAAAATGAATAAGTATTTGTCAGTCCAGGCAGGGTTCATTGTCAATTTTGCGCTTTTGGACTGAGAAAGACACGCTGTTGTCGCATCATATATTACGATGATTGTTTAATATGTTTACATCACGGTGCATTGTGGGTTAAATATTGCTAGGCTACTAGGAGTGTTGCATTCACAGTCTACACTACGCTGTAGGAATTTTTAATTTTTTAAAAATTAATTAATGAATTAATTTTTTGCGTTTTCTCTGTGTTTCTGCTAGGACCACAGGCAGGGCCACTCTCAGGTTGCTTCTGGGCTGCATTTGGCCCGCGGGCCGCCATTTGAATAGGCTTGTCATAGGGGGTCATCTGATTGATGGGGTTTTATCTGTATTATTATAGGATCTATATCTTGTGCCTTGAGGTGATTGTTATTATGATTTGGTGCTATATGAAAACAAAAAATGAATTTAGTTGTATATGTGAATGCCCCAGACTAAGAGTAACTGTGTAACAATATACTATATTCTTCTGTTATTTCCACTGTCATCCATTACATACCAGGCAGTTGTGACAGTAATTCTGGTTCACCTCGACTCGAAGGCGAGTACAGTGTAGTTGTACTTTTGAAGTGAAAGGTTTGTTGACTAATGTGAGGTCTGAGACTTACAGGCTAGGTCGTGTGTTGCCTTTATGATGGGGTTGTGTAATAGGGTCAGGACCTTTAGCTGCTGTCTTTGCCAGGTCAGGTGCACTAGAGTAGCTGCTGGCATTGTGCATGTTTGTGTGCCTGCCAGTTTTCGATAATCTCTGGATTGAATGTGATAGCCGGATGATATTTGAGAGGAGCAGATTCCACAGCATTGCAGTTAAAGCCTAATTCTTCAGATGTTTGATGTCAGCTCGATATTGGCCCGGCTAATTTTTTTTATTTAATTAGAGCTGATCAGTGAGCAAATTGTCACCCAAATATTCAAAGTGTGTAGTTATGATACTGCATTACACACTGATTAGGGTGCGACCTTCCAGTGTTTTCAGCAGACTATTTCCCTCCTGATCAGAGAATTGTGTGAGCACATTAGTCACCGCTGTCTTATTTTCTTCGTGACCTTGGTTGATGTATTGCTTTCATTATCTGCTGATGTACTTGGGATGTTCATTATGCAGTGTTTTGATATTGTGGCGCTGTCTTTCTGTTTGTCTGGCTTCTCTCCAGGTGTAAGGACTGAGCATGTGGATGAGCTGCGTGTCTTCCTATTGGTCTGTGGCCTCAGAAGAGTCAAAGACCCCCTCTATTTGGTGGAGGTTTTTTCAAGTATGCTGTGATTTTATTCATTACGTTATATTGTTGAATTCATTTCATTGTGCTTGCTATGAAATGCATGTGTATAACATCAAGTGGCGATAAGATCAGCACTCAGACCCAACCCGTTATTGAAACTAGAAATACATACCAGTAAATATGATTATGTAAGCTGCATGAAAAATTGCTTATGTTGTCTGTGGGAACTAAGGTACCAAAAAAAAGTACCGTCGAATTTTAAGATTTTTTACACATCAGTCCTGGTGAAATCCTAAATGTTCACCAGATACAGAGAACATATGAAATTATAAATAACTGAACTCTCTTAGGCAAGCTTTCAGTTGTCTTCCAACAGAGATACATTCAAAATACTTCTTTGGATTTTGGCTGTCTTTTGTTTCATTGTCTGCAAAAATGATCCCACACTGCTTCAAAAAGGTCTGAGGAGGCCAATCCATGACTGATAGTGATCAATCATGATCCATCCTGGCAGTGTGTTTGGGATCATTGTCATGTCGAAAAAAAACTGGCTTTCAGTCCAGTTCGTGTGTAAATTTGAGTTTTTCCAGCCTTTTCTTTCAGTTTGCAGCCTTCCACCTACATCATTTCTGATGCGATTTCAGTGATTAACTTAAGGGCCAGGTGCATGTGTGAGGTCTTTGCTGGGTTTTTTGCTATTTCCTAAACTCGTGACTTTCAGATATTGTTGATCTGTAGGCAGACTACAACTCTGTTGTCTCAGGCTGCAACTTGCAGCAGTAAACGAGCTATTACACGTGGATTTAATGGCATCTTTTTGCTCTTTTTGCTGCTCTGCAGCCTTGTTGACTCATATGATCCATATCTTCACCTGCTACAGATTCTGGTTGGAGTGATCCTTCAGCTTGTAGCAGATATTATGGAGAACAGAGCAGGGAGTGCTGTCATCATCTCCAGTCAGAGTGGAATAGAGTTGATCCACCTACAGAATAAGAGACTACCTGGATAAAAAAACGAAATCACATCCAGGATCAATACACCAGTGACCTGGCCATCATCCAGACAGGGAAACACAAGACTGGATAGACAAGAGCAAACTGGTTAGCAACAGGAATATTGCAAGTGGTGAATTAGCCAAGTATATTGGTGCATACTGTGCCCCCGATCAAAACCTTTGTGAATCTCATCTTCTGAGATCCCTACCAAAGTACTTAAAATGATCTTTATGGTAGTTGCGCTGCAGGAGGTGCCACTATGGTCGCATTTTGCTATGATGACACATGTAAATACTAGGGGTGCAACGATACACAAAATTCACGGTTCGGTTCG